ATGTAGCCTATGGATTATAATATTTGGTTCGCAATTTACGAACGTTTGTTTTGTTCGGAGCAAAATGTATGGGGTTTGTGTCGTCCGAGTTGTATCTGATTTCATTGTATTTCGATTTACAGAGTAGTCACATAATAGTCATATTCTCACTGTTCTGTTAATAATTATGACTATTGTTGATTCACTCGATTAGTGATTTTATGAATTTCTTGTTTGTTCCCCACTCTCTCTTTCACTCACCGTCGTTGTCGTCGCATCCCCCTCCTTCTCTTTCGTTATTTTCGATTTTTTTTTCTCCAGATCTGGAGCAGAAGCATCAACGTGACTATAGTCTGGTTCGAATATGACTATTGCTGATTCACTCGGTTAGTGATTTATTAATTTCTCGTGTTCGTTGTCTCTATCGATTTCTCTCTCTTTACACCACCATCGTCTCCACATATAGATTTGTACACCACCACCACCGTCGCCGCTCGTTACCGCCGCCTCATCCTTTGTTTCCATGTAAGGCTTTTTCTCTATTTTTCGTTATCTTTCTCGTTTTCTCATTTTTTTTTTCCAGATGCCTCCACCACCACCGTCGCCGCCTCTTTCACTCTCTTTCCTTCACCACCGCCCCCGCCGTTGTCTTCGACTCCCATCCCTCTCTCTCGTTATTTTTCTATCTTTATTTATGTACTTTTCGATTTTTTTTTCCAGATTTGAATAACAGCAGTAACATGACTATAGTCATATTCGAATATGACTATAGTCATATTTATGTATTTTTCGAATATGACTGAATAACAGCAGTAACATGACTATTGTTGAATATAATTTATCTTCTCGTTTTCAAGTTGACTTCTAGTAAGTAGATTCAAATGATTTTTTGTGTGGATATTGATTGGATTGTTTTCGTAAACAATAGGAAATCTTCGTTGTTTTATATGATTTGGTAAACATGACTATGCCATATAATCGGAATTTTTAACTTCAAAATATAAAAAACAACAATATAAAGAAAAAATATGACTACAATTAATATAGTCACATATAGTAGTCATATTCAATTATAGTCATATTCGGCGTTGCAAACCTGTGGAGAATTTTTTTTTCAATTTTTTGTTTAAAAAAAATAAAAAAATAAATAAAAAAATTATTTTTATTAAAAAATATTAAAATAAAATAAATAAAAAATGGCTAAATAAAGTCCGAAAATAATATAAAAATAAAAAATAAAAAAATAAAGTCCGAAAATACTTTTTTTTTTTGATTTGGTAGCAATTTTTTAGGAATTTGAAAACAGATTTTTAGGAATTAAATTGTTATTATAGAAAGAGAGAAAAAAGGAATAATTGAGATAAATTATACTAATTAATTAATCCTAATTAGTGGGATTTAGGTCCTCATTAATAGGAATTTTGTAAATAGTAGATAATTATTATAAAAAAAAAACATGGGATTTAGTTGCCTTATTAATAGGAATTTTGTTAATACTAGATAATTATTATAAAAAAAAAAAACGTAATGGGTGGTATAATTTTAATTTATTTCAAAGGATCCAAAAAAAAAAAATAGAAAAAGAAAGTCAATCTGAACCATTGAAAATCAAATCAAGGTCCCCAATTTGGATTTGAGTTGTTAATCAATTGTTCTAATTAACAAATACAGCGATTTATTTTAATAAGTATAAAGTATTTACATTCATTAAGAAATTTAAAACAAGACAACATAATAATAGTGGCTCAAAGGGCTGATGACCATAAAGAGGAATCAAAAGCCAAAACAATGATTTGTAACAAACAAATAAATAAGGCAATGAATATATGCAAGACTAAAATTACTAAGTGTAAGACCTTACTTGATGCAAGACCAAAATATAAATAAATTTACTAAGAGCAAGACTGCAAATTACAAATATAACCCCAATATTGATTTTGATACTATTCATTTAAATTACACATAATTACTATTGCAAGACCAAAAAGTTAAAAAAAATAAAAGGAAAAAAATAAAATAAAATAAAATAAAGGAGAAATTGAAAAAATGAGAGAGAGGAATGTTGTAGAGGAAGAAGAGAGGAACACAAGACGAGAAGAATCGACGCCGCCCATCCGCTGCCGAAGAATTGTCGCCGCCCATCCGCCGCCGAAAAATTGCCGCCGCCCAACCGCGGGTGCTTGAAAAGGAAGAGAAGAAGAATATGGAGGGAGGAGGAAAAAGGAAGGAGGAGTATGAGAAGAAGAAGAAGAAGAAGAAGAAGAAGAAGAAGAAGAAGAAGAAGAAGAAGAAGGAAATTCGACATCTACATGTTGATTTTTTAGTGAAAAATCGACATATAATCGATTTTTTTGGCAAAAATCTAGGTATTAATATTTTGGCGAAAAATCGACATGCAGTCGTAGATGTTGAATTTTGTCACAAAAATCGACATCTACATGTCGAATTTTGTGACAAAATTCGACATGTCAATGTCGAATTTTGATTGTACGAATTTTCTTTTTGAAAACTTAAGAATCGATCACCTAACTATTAAACTACATTCATTCATAGTTTGTTTTCTATTTTTATATAGAATTCTCCATATTGATGTCTCGTGACTCCATAATGTTATCATTTGCATGTTTTAGTAAGTTGATTGTTTTGGGTGTTGAGGATTTTTGGAGAAGATGAAAAAAAAAATTGAAGAATTTGTGTGAAATGGGTTTGTGAGAAAGATGAAATGGGTTTTGCTTGTGTGGTCTTGCACAAAGAAAGTTGTGGAATTTTGTAATTGTGAATTTTGTATTTTAGCAAGGGTATAATAGTCTTTTAGTAATTCATTTTGTGAAAAATTAGATTTGAAGTAATTTTTGTGATTGTATATAGTCGCCGCCATAAATAATTGCTATGAGAAATTGTGTACATTTTGAAACGTCTGATTTTGCTTGAAAAACTTTTGTGTTATGTAGAATAATATGATTGTTATAGGGACTTCCTTTTTACAGTTGAAAAATTGTTATTTGCAGTTCAAACCTAATGTTATATGTATCTGAACGTCCAGACTTGGGCGCCCAAACCCATACCGAAGGCCCAAATTGGACGCCTAAACCGGGCGTGAAAAATGCTGGTGAACGCCCGTTTCGAGCGTTTACCGAGCGCAATTTTAGAAAAAAAACAGGCCTGCAAATCGATTTATATGGCTATTTAACATGAATTTACAACCGAAATTTCCTACCCAATACAATAAAAACGTTTAGGAGTTGAAAATACTTCAAAAATTTCGATAAATTTGACTTATTTTTGCATCAATTCGATTTTTTTTAATTTTTTTTTTAAATGTTTTGGTGTTTGGGTGGGGAGTGGGTGGGAGAGAGTATATAGTGAGAGAAATGTTTTTGCGATATTAACTGCAAATAGCAAAGTTCTAACCCCAATGTTATACTAACAAATATTTTCACTAAAATACAAGCAAACAAACGCTTTATTTTAAATTTAAATTCAAATTCTTCTCAAAGATCTCTCCCATGATAATACTAAAATCAAAATAATATATTTATCAAGTCTCTTTGGATGGACCAACCAAACCGAACCATGTTTTGATTGAAAAGAGTATATACAAAAATTAATTATGTAGTATGTACAATAAAAGAGCATCAAGTACATTATTACCTCAGCCGACCACTTCGTAGAGGCTCTTCATACACTCACTTGAATATATACAGTGATGTGTATGTAATGTGCGTCTCTCTCTCTCTCTCTCTCTCTCTCTCTCTCTCTCTCTCTCTATATATATATATATATATATATATATATATATATATATATATATATATATATATATATATATATATATTCTAGTATCCTCTTATGATGAAGCACATATTACAGTGCGAGAATACAATTACAACTCCAGATGGCGTATAAACAAAATCGCTGCAGCACAAGTTGCAATTCAACTTCAGGAAACAGCCTTTTCCTGTAAAGCTCTTGCCAGCATTCTTGATGTCTCTCATTTTTCAATCTTTCTTCACACTTTAGACGGTAAAAAGATAAAACGATCATCGTTTATGCCTTTTGCTGTTACTAGCAAAAGCTACATTTTCCATATCAATCATTGTTCACTGCTCCAAGAGTTGAATTTAGGGATACCGATGAAGGCATTTGTTGGGGTGACAATATGTATGCTCCTTTAGGAATTACAGCATCTACCGTAGGAGAATATGGCTTCCTCACTTTCCTCTTAAGCAACCCCTGCACACACCAAGAACCAACAAATTGTATCAAACCTTTTTTTCTCAAGTCTACAAAATCCAAGTGGAAACAGAAACAATCGGACAAAATCATACCATTGTATGTGTTGGACCGTAAGTAGACCTTGCTTGTTCGATTGACGAATAAACCTCAAATGCTTGATTAGAATCACGGCTACACTTTATAATGCGATATTGGTCCTTTGCATCTCCATTTTTATTGTGTAAATATAGAAGAACGCGTGAAGTTGGAGCACTCGGATGATCTTTCTTTCCGTGAACCAGTTCCATTGTGACTAAGTCATCCCACACCACATCCCAGAGCACTGAACATGGATCTCTTGCAGGGTTGAATTTTTTCTGTGCAATGAGGTTGGATGGTTGCTGAAATAAAAAATGTACAAGAAGAGTTGAATTACAGTATATAGTTGACAGGATGATTGATTTGTTGGTTCAAATTTTAGTTAACTCACTTGCAACAACATAACTCTTCGATGAGTAACCAGAATGATTCTGCCCTTGGGAAGTGCAAAATGGTCCTCATAGGCATCTGTTAAGGCAAACTTTCCACGTACTTTAAACAGATCAACCTGGACGAAAAATGATCCCGATTCTGCTAATTGCAAAATCACCTTCATCATGGAAAAGAAGGTTCGTGAGACACATTTAGCAAGCATGGCCAAGGAAGAGAGAGCTTAAAATCATTTGTACAGGAAATGGGATATGAGAATCTAAGAATGTTATTTATACAACACACTAATAAGCAGGCCTTCAACATTTTCCAGTTTTATCCGGATAAAGTATTTAGAGCTGGCTGATGTTAATTGTCTAAGCTGAGGCACCTAGGTTACGAGGCATTGTGTTCAAGTCCCATCAAATTTATAACATAATGATATACATAACCGTTACAGGGAAGGGAATTCAATGCAGTAGGAAACTAAGGAAATTAAGTGAATGTCATGCACAGTACACAGCAGATCAATCTAGATGACCCTAATCAGAATGTCAATTCACAAATAACGATTTCTACAGCTGATTGAATGATACCATAGGTTCGCTTGGAAAGTTATAACATTTATTATTTTGCCAAAATCAATTTCAAATTGCCAATATCAGTTTACAACTCCGTATGTGAAGAAAATGATGAATTAGTTCAGTGCGGCAAAAAGGTAAGCTCAACATGTGCAGCTTCAGTTCATGCTGTAAAAATTAAGGAAAGACAATTCAAAGGTACTAGATGACATAAAATAAATCTTCTAGCATGTGAACTGTCAGACCATAACATAGTAGTTATAGAACATAATAATGACCAGCCAAAACATGATGAGTGCTTTAATGGGAGCATTGGATGGAGTTCAAAGAAAGTACCTGTCCCTGTGCTTTGTACTCATCATACGGCCTAAGTAAATTATCACCACTAATAGCTCGGGGTAATCTTCGGCGGAGAAGTTGATCTTCAGAAGCAATAGCAGATGCAATCTTCATTCTCATTGCATTTGCACCTTCGGTAGTTTTTGACAAAAGATCCAAAACACCGCTAACAGGTTGTGCGGCGGCACCTATTAATCCCTTCCCAACACCCTGTACAAAGCCCTCAACGCCCGATGCCTTTGCACCTTCGAGAGGTTTTGTTAAGATGCCAGTGAATCCTCGAAATATGCCTTTAGCTAAGGCCCCACCTCCTTCTCGAATGACATCACCAAAGTCCTCTACACCTTTGTTGTCCTGCAGGGAAGGATCAAGTCCATTAGAGGAAAAATCACCGCATTACACAACAAATATCATGTGCACATATGAAATTCGTGATAAATATTAGATATCCAAAGACGATAGTCAATGATATACATGATTGCCTAGTCAATGTGAAGTTATCATTTTCTCCACCAAAAAAAAATGTGAAGTTATCATGAGAAGCAAACATGGAGCTTATAGAGAGAGAGGTTTTCCACCTTTAGAGATAAAGCTGTCAAATAAACGGAGAGGTTTAACGCTCAGTTTAAGAGGTATGCTGTCAATTCGAGAATATTAACTAGGTATTGCGACTGCTTCTGGTTTGGGAGCACAATAAAGAAGGCTGAGTAAAACCTCAATTTGTCCAATAAAAAGAAAACGCACACATCATGAGAAAAACGCATCATGAATACATGTGTCATAAACTTACAGTAATTCCCAATTTCCTTCCGATTTTCAACTAGTTCCACAATACTGCCAACAGATAAGCAAGGGCTTTCATGGTTAATGGGCAAAAGCAGTATCTACCGAAAGACTAGCAGGAATTATGTCCGACAGGTTCTGCGCATGGTATTTTCAGCAGACAAGTTAGGATGTTTTTGGTACGAGCGTAATATCTATACAAATAGAATAGTCTATTGTCTGAAGTTCTGACTTTAGCACTTTGAAATCAAAGAGTGGGAACTGTATTATGAGGCTCTGCAATTTCTTGAACTTCTATTAGCAGACACAACTAGGCATCTTGTTAGGTCAAAGGTAAAAAATTTACAAGCATGGACTGAGCTAGCTATTACAAGAATCACAGAGAATTAGCCAGGACTATAAATACATGAAGTTTTTTCCAGAATGGGATAACTTCTAACCTGTCTTTGTCGACTTTGTATGAATTTCTTGTCCATTGATAGGGCAGCAACACCTTTGCTCATATGTCCAAGTGCACTACTTGCATTTCCCAAAATATCAACACCAGAAAGCAGCTGCAGAGGCTGACTGAGAATATCCTTTTTAATGTTTGAGATAGCATTACCGACTAGAATACTATGCCTCATAGATACATTTTCCTGAAATCTCGGGTTTATCCGCACCTGATAAAACGATATTAGTATTAGTACAAGTAATATCTCATTAGGTTCACCCTCACATGAAATACAAGAATACTATTCGTTATACTCCTTTCTCAATTTGGGATCTCACACCCTCATAATTCAATGGTTCGTGTACAAGCGCAATGTTCTGAGACTATCAGATGATGTCACCTAGTGAAGAAGAAAGAAAAACGAAAAAGCAAGGGAGATATCTCGGATAGATGAAAAACAAGACAAAGATACAAAATCTTGGTTGAACTTATTACCAGAAGACATCATTGAGTAACCTTATAAAACAATTCTGATGTTTTCTCCTTGTTAGAACCTACCAAGTCATTTGGTTTGCCAATACAACCCTTTTCAGGGTCAATCAAAAATAGTAGCTCAAAGCTTTCTGAGGTAAAATACTAATTCTCGGGAATTACGTCAAATAGACAATATGGAAAAACACAAGGAGCACATGCTTACTGGCATATTTTCCGTATTTCCAAGAGCAGTCATTAAGCTTGCCCAAAAGCCAAGGACACCAACTGGCCGTTGGGTAGGGGACATAGCCATAGTCACTTTGAGACGAACTTCTGAGACATTAAGAACACTGCCAATACAGAGTATTAGGATTTTAACTCTACTTCATAGAAGCAAATCCAGAAATAGATGGATCAGATGATGTTGAAAGATATACATACCCAATTTGAATGATTGGATCAACAGAAACAGAAGTGGTCTGAGTACCAAAGATTCTGGCGATATTAGCTTGCTGGATTAGCCCATGAATGCGCCAAATAATTGGTTCGTGAATATTAATTAAAAAGGCAGTATTTTCAGGTCCCTGAAAGAATATTCGAAGCATCTCTTAGCATTAGGAAATCAGTTATTTATGCAGCAAATACAGTTCTACACTCACCTGCAAACCAATGTAAGGATATATGCACAAATCTAAAGATCCACTAGATTGTTTTGTGACAGAAAGCTTCAAAATATAATCAGTGTCCTCTCCAACTCTTTGTGGCCGGAACAGAACTGGCATTGGAGTTAAAGGCAACTGATTATCCAACTGAATCCCCCCCATTCTTATTTTTAACCTGGGTTAAAAAATCAAGATTAGCACAAGCATATACTCAAAAAAATGATCAAATGTAAAACGGAAGGAAGACCATCCAATCAAAATTACAGTCTAAGGTCTAAATAATATCACACAAAAAGTTGGCCCAAGCTAGAGTCCAGTGACCAAGAATTTTACCGACTAATTCCAGAGCCGAGTCCAGTAGAATATGACAGCAAGAAATTTTGCAGGGACAAATATAATATCTCTTCTGGTGTGTGATCAACAACAGACAACCCAAGCTCGGCGACTTCCAGGATGAGATGAAACTCGCAATCAGAGTTAAAAGTTGATGGCTGAAGCTGAGACTTATTTTCAGAAATTTGCTGTACATATGAAAGACTTCTATTTAAAAGCATCGGTGCTTCATTTTCTGGCATCCAGTCACTAATTTTAACAACATTTACTTTCTCTTCCCTGATGATAGTGACTCGTAGACCTCTCCTAGGTCCTCCAGCAACCTGAACGGGCTGATGATCTTTAATTTCATCAATATCATACTTCTGTGTTGTCCTTGGATCATCTCCATCTATAAATAGTTCCAAACATCGCTCTCTACCAAGGTCTTCCCATGAAAAAGAAGCAGCAGCATTAGGAAGTAGAGACCTCCACGAGTCTGTGGAACCACTGACTTGCCGAAATTGTATTGGTAGGAAAAGAGAGCGATTTTCAATCCTGTTAATAGGTTGCATTAGAAATCGGAGTATATTAACAGGAAAAGACGTTCAATTAATGGTCAAACAATTAAATATCTATGGCAGACAATTAAAATCATGAACCCTTTGCTTTCCTTGGTTAACATGAACAAGTTTACAAAATTAATCACACGTCTTAATTGCTACTTTCTTCGGTAACGGTAAAAATCATCAATATTGCTATAGCACTTTTAATAGAAGATATTTTATGTTTGCAAGGTAAAAGTCTTACACATACAGTTATTTCAAGTGAACTTTCCACGATTTTCAATCTGCCTAAAGCATTAAAGTTTTCATCAGCAATCTAGTACTCTTATATTTTTGTTAAAAAGGTTGTCCGGATGACATCAAACCAAGTATTTGTGTAGATTGACCTTTGGTCTTAACATTCTCCAGTCTTTAGCCTGTGATTTCAAAAAGTAGACCACATCGAGTGAACATCCCAAAAACGGAGAAAACAAACAATGAGACAGCATAGCCAAGTTTCTGTTAAACAGGATAACAATTATCCATGGAAACTAACTCCTACTCAGTTTGCACGATGATCTCTTGCCTAACCCCCACCCCGCTGGATGTTTCTCAAAAATAAAAATAAAAAAAAACTTGCAAGATGAACGCGTCCCAGAAGCTAACAAATTGAAGAAAAAACTTAAAATGAGAAAACAACATTAGGACACAAAGTTCAGTTCCTCAAAACTAATATATATTAGTGGTAACACTATAACGACGCAAAATAAGTCGCCATGAAGAACAAGCTCATTAGAGACTAAAACTTGCTTCTCCACTAAAGAAACAACGGTATTACTACATACCCATACATCCAATTGCATCAATTCTGTGTGAGATGATTGATTTAATTCCAAGAAAAACAAAATCATATAAAGAAGTATTATTCAGCAATCACCTGTAAGGACTTGAAAAAGAATCCGGACGAAATATAGCTTCATAGCGAGAGGTCTTTGTTCCGCCTCTTACTTGTATTGAAAGATTCATTTGATCACCTCCCAGCTCACTCCTCAGGCATATAGACATTAGACCTTCAGAGCCAATAGTGAATGGTGCACTCCACTGGTAGCCCTCCATCCGCAACTTAAGCAATAAGACAGATAAGGTAAGTCAATTCACATGCATGTAAGCAATTCATCTTTTCCGGATTAAGGATACGGCTGATACACATACCGTAAGCAATTCATCTTTTCCGGATTGCCATCCAAAATGTTTGGGAGGTTCAGTAGGATGAAGCCACTCTAGTGATTGACTATCAGATTGCCGCATGCATATGCTACACCCAACTCTGTTAATAAACATTGTGTGTGGCTGGAAATGTACAACCTACATATATACAGGTATTGTCATGTCAAATATCCACTTTGCATACTTTGAAGCAAAAAACTGCAGATAAGATAGAAAAATTCAATTTTCAATGAACAATGATTACAGATGAATCTGTTCCTAGGTTTCATTGGAATATTTCAGTAATCTTAAGTTACGAGTTGCTCATGTATAATCTATATACAACTACTGGAAGTCAGGTGTAAATCAATCCAGAATGGAAAGTATTATTATCAATCAAACCTAGAAAATAATATACTAAGCTTACTAACCAAGTAGATATATGTGAAGGTAAGAATTTGCATACATATGAAACCAAAATGGCAGAATCTGTGTATACCTTAATTGCACAATGAGTATTTAATTTACTAATTGTAGATCAGTATTTCTACCTTTGTTCTGTCTGAAGTCATGTGCAGCACAGCTGAAAGCTTGTAGTATGTTCCGTCAGAATGGGATGCCCTCACATCAACCCTTTGCTGAAGAATCAAGTAGCAACATTAGATACTGTAAGACCAAAATTTCATCTAAAGGAAAATAACTCTCAAATAATCATGAAAAACAAATGATAGTCTCCATATAACCTTTTTCTCTAGCTCAAGAAGTGATACCCCAGGACTGAAATTTTCAGAATCCCGAATAGCAACAGCAACACCCACCCTTGGGGACAGATACGTATCATTTCGCGATGAAAACAGCATAACGCCACCACGGCCAACATAATCTTGTGGAGAAAGCATACTGGGTGTTGGACTAGTATCTTCAATAGCTTCGAGCACTTGAATGTTTTTCCTCATACCAACCTGTCCCGCAACCACTGAGGTTGAAGGATGTCTCGATGCCGATTTTGCAGATTTAACTGCTTTGGAGATGACAAGAGAATCCACGTCCCCACTTTCCAGCGGTTCAATTTCCACTACTCTATAAGCCAATGGGAGGAAGGAATCATTATTTATCCAGTAGGGAACAAAAAACCTTATTGTTTTGGGGGCAGCTGCAGTTCCTCCCAAGTCACGCTCAATGCTCACCCGTAACCTCCTTCATGAAAGGAATCAAGAAGAAGTGAAACCAGTCAAATCAATTATCAATTTGAAAACCTAATTTCACATTGTCAAGGCAGTCACATTGCCTCTAGTATTTTACGAAGGAAATATTTTTGTAACAATAGAATGAAACAAAGTCGTGAGTAGGTTAATCATCCTAGGAGCTGATGAGTTGTAGCTTAACATTAATTATATCCCATTATAACTTCTACATCTAGATGCATGTCAGAATTTTTAACAGAAAACTAACTTTAAACCAGTTTGATACATACATTTCACACAATACTCATAACGTCGTAAGTGGCTCAGGCATATTTATGATCACTTGCCCAAGGATACAGCTATGAGTACAGTCAAAATAATTTTCAAATACTGATGAGAATGACATCATCAACATGACTGTTACCGTTCAACCAAGTACGCAAATATTATGAACATGTTGCCCACAGTTTTATTATTTAACATATTCCCTGGACATGATGGATGACATTACTTACCATTTCTGGACCCTTTATCACAAAGACTGCAATGCTCTATCAGATACTCGATAAAAGTCGCATTTAGGTCTACCACCGATTCAAGTGCTTGTATATATCAGTTCAGTTCAATTATCAGGTCTTATATAGAATTTCATGTACATATAGCAAATAAATCACCATTTCAACAGACATATGGCACAGTCATAGAGCTGAGGTCTCCTTAATCAGTGATTAATAAGATGTCCCAGGGCAAATCGAAGTAGCTAAATGCTATTTTCTTCATAGATGGCTTTTTAGGATAAATTACTAAATTCCATCACAGAATGTTGTCAGTGACTCAGATGAACAAGTCATGCTGGTAGATGATTATCAACTCAGCTCAAAGCATAAATTTCATAGGACATTCACAGAATAATAGGCCTTTTTTGCTGAACAAAGCAACTTATATAATAGGAAGAAACGAAATCCATGCCTGCATCCCCATTCTACATCAAATACTTGATGAAATGAGAAAATTGAAGGCAACTGTATTTTCTTTTGTCAAATTCAAACCTTCCCTACATCGGGAAAGTAGGGGAGGGATATCATCTTAACCACTGACCTTGGGTTTAATAGCCGTGGACAGGTACCGACTCTTGCAATTGACAACTATATGAATTCACAAAAGCATGTGCACGAGGTGCAAGAAGGTGCATAACATATAAAGAAGAAGAAAATATTGAGACATATATACGTAAAGAATTCTCGGACTACCTTTTTTTCTGCTGGTGAAGCATCCAAAATGAGGAAACGTGATTACCACATGCCATATCCAAAACAAGAACAGGGTCCTGATTTACCAAGAGAGATGAAATCATTGAATATTTTTTTTCAGAAACAATGGTATCGTGCACATATATACTCAAACATGCATGCATATGCCCAGTACAACCAAAAGAAGGTTTACCTTTTCCACAACCCAGCCACCCTGAACAAATAACATCACATATATCGGATTCTGTATGTCAGCAGTATATATGTGTACAGTCCCACGTGATGCTACAAAACCATGTTGTCTTTCTACATTTTTACCATCTTTCAACCTTTCCCAGATTTTGAATTCTGCAGAACAAGGAAGTCTGTTCTCCAACCGCAGTGGAGAACTCACAGATATTTTCCAATCATAAATAGGGGTATTAAGATCTGTATGAAGAACCGATGCATCTGTGCCGATGGAAAGCCAAAATAATTTACCACCAGATCCAGGGCAACACCAAAGAAGGTCCTTCTTCTCCATCTGATCTAGCCTCAATGGTGAAACTGGGGTCTTACTTACATGCTTCAAGGTACTCTGACGAGAAAGTGAAGGTTGTTCGACAGATAGCGGGTCCTTCTCAACAGAAACTGGACGGCCCCAAGCATAGGAAGTTTGAGAATGATCACTGGATGGCCGAATTCGTAGACACTGGTTAGAATTCCTTGACATGCTTCTCCAGGGTAAAACTGAAGAGCAACCTGGGGATATAGTAACGTCAAGAAAATTTGGGTTTGTTGTGGCCCAGTCATCAACTTCTTGCCTTGTTCGAATCCAACGCCTTCGACGGACAGCATCACGGGCTGATTTTGTTCCAGACTTGGGAGAACTTGGAGGCCATTTCAGACTATGATAGTCAGGCCCATAAGCCCAACCATCAGTATCAACAAACTGAGATTTGTCAACAGTCCATGTTGATGCCCATTTCCATCCAGGGGGGAGAGGATGTTCGAAGAACTCCTTTGAGAAAAGCAGGAAAAAAATCATCTAAATTTATTAAAACAAATATTTCTAAAATATCACTATTTAAAAGAAACTTACTTTAGAAGAATAAGAGAAATCCCTTGTACTCCAACGCCCTGGATCCTTATCACGAGAACCATATTCATTGTTACCCCAACCAGATCCTGGATGATATTGTTGATTTTCAAACATCTCTTCTATGACGATGTTATTTCTACTTACACTAGAAGAAATATCATGACCATTAACCAGTGAGACATGACATGTTGAAATATTCAATTGGATATCTGAATCATTGGTCACCGTAGCAAGACCCCTGAAAACCGCATGCTTCTTTCCATCTTTCATAGACACCTCTAAAGCCACAAAATCATTTTGGAGTTTCATGGTAATCACTGATAGAGGAAGCAATGAACGAAAACCATCCCATGGACCTTCTGGACCAAGTGCAACCCAGAAACCCATATCTTCATCTACATCATCTCGATCTCCCCATTTATCCTCAAAGTCGGTAGCCATACTCTTCTCAATGAAAGAAGTGGAAACGAAAAGGCAAGAACAAGAATGCATTTCATCAATATATTCGCCCTGGAAAGAGAAATGGTAAAGAGCAGGAGAAAGTTATGATATTGAACACACGAGACAAATGGAGAAACATGAAAAAACATATACCACATACCTTTCTTTTTAGTGGATAAGATGTAATACTTTGAACTTCAGATGACTGGTGGAGCATTTTAACAGAAGTAACCTTTTTCAACATGCTCGTCCCATGTCCAACAGAGAATGAACATGCACCCACGACCTCACCTAATATTTGAGAAAACAAGTTTTAGACTAAATTAACACAGCATATATCTATTGTAGTCTAGTACCTGTTGTAATCGTCGTATACGATGAAAGGAAAAAAATTGAACCTAATTAGACTAACCTATCTGCATTAAATTGTACATCCCGAAAAAATAAATGTTATTTTTTTTTTTCTAGCAAACCATTCTTCAAAAGAAAAATGTAAATCTCACAGATTGTTCAGTGGATAACAATAAAATATGTTTTTTTTAAACTGCGAAACCAGGGTTCTCTAAGTGCATGCAATAGTAAAGTAATGGGTAGCAACCAATTGAGGAAATTCTCGTTTTCTGTGCTACAAAAAAATATATTGGATAATCTGTGCCAAGTGCACCCTTGAATATCAAAAGAAAATGCATCAGTACATAGTACAGAATCTCCTGCATTCAAGAAGAAAAAAGAACAGAAAGAAATAAGGAAATAGTGCTATCATTTATAGCCTACCTTTACCGGCCTTTGCAGCAAGGTTTGTTACTTCCACCTCCAACTTAGCCATTCCCTAGGACAATAACAAAAAATGAATTTTGGACAAACTTAAATACCATAGATATATACGAGCCAACTTAAAAAAGTTGTAAAATTAAAAAAAAAAAAAAAAAATCCTATTGGCCAATAATTAATTGATATTTATCTCCATGACTTGTCTTGGAAGACAAGTCAAAATTATTTTAGGAATAATTTAATTAACCAAATAACTAGTTTTTGCCGTCTACGTTTAGATTAGTGGAACAGGAGTCTATCCCATAGAGGTGTTTGGTGAGAGGTCGGGGGTTCGAATCCCTTTGAGTGCGTGTGTTGTAGGCCATATTTAGAAGGCCAATTTAAAAAATAAAAGATTTTATTTTTTTATGATTTGGTTAAGCCATGGGTTTTTAGCATACCTTCCGAGGAACTTCGAAAATGAAGAGTTCATTCCATCTAGCTGTGCCTTCGTCAAGATCATTAACTTTAGTTGATAGTGGTCTAACACACTTTGTTCTTGCACTTTGAGGGAAAAGCTTTTGCGAATTAGCTTCTTGATTCTCTACAACCAAGCGCAGAGCACAAAAAAATCGATGACTATTTCCATCATCAAGGAGAGGTAAACCCTGCAGAAAATGGTAGAAAAATAAAACTTAAATAACATATTTACTTTTGTTTTTCAAGAAAATAGAGTAATAAATCTCTGAATTATCTAAATTGATACATAACAACCTGTGCTTCAACAATTTGAACTCCAACGTAACATCGAGGTTCCCTTGCTTCATCCGAAACATTTAATCTGTCTGAGTATCTTGGAGGTGGTATCCATAAAGAGGCACAATCATCATCCCGAAGTAAATTAATGGTATGCGAATTAAGTTGAGTTTTCTTTAGGTATATATCACAGCCAAGCTTATTTTCCACTATCACCGTCTGAAAATCGTCTTCATCCAAAGCCAGATGTGTCGATTCTTGGTCAGATGCATCAGGGCCAGCAGCTTCCTGTGGAGGTTAATAAGAAGTTAAGAAGGTGTATAAAATAAAAGGAACCTGAAAAGAGTGTGAAGTAAAAAGAGTCATTCAACCTCATACAATCTCATTGCTTTCTCTTCAAGTTCCCTCTGCTTTCTCCATGAATCCATTGTTTGCGCTAAGGTATCAATATTTGCAGCACTTAGATTCACATTCAGAATACTGGTAGCAGCAATTCGCATTCTTTTGGCTACTTTTACCGGTTGGCTTAAATTGGTATCATATGTTTCCATCCTTCCAAATAAAAGAATAATTATTGTGCAGTAAGATGATTGCAAACGAATATGTTATCAATTATTGTTTTTCGTTTTTTGAAAAAGGAAAAAAGATTGAAAAATTCTTACTTAAATATTCCCTCAAATGGCTCAACAAGTGGCTCCCAAGCTTCTAAATGAATATTAAAAGTTGACGCGGCAAAGGAAGAAATCAATACAGCATTCATGGCCTCAAGGCGACCGTGACTTGCTAGCTTGATGTTAGTAATTGTGGCATCAAAAAGTGGAGTCATCTGAGGAACACAGATAGAAAATCAAGAAATAAATCAAGCTTAAAATTACTGAGCATGGCAAAGGGAAAAAAATAATCAGTAAGGGGTAAACCATTCCACACAAGCTGTCCAAAATAGTCAGAGAAAAGCATCTTATTTTCATGTCAGCTGTTAAATTATCCCTTGTCTTTGGCTTCACTGAGTCACCAATTGCAAATGATAATATGCTTGATGGTTTTTTGAGGTCAGAACGAGCAAGAAAGGTGCATGCCTGCAGTACAAAGTAATACATGAATGGTGAAGGGAAAAAATGCTACTCTGGAACTGGTGGGTGTGAGAAATGGTGAGGGTAAGAACATAGTCGGTTCAAAACTATCATGTAACTTAACCTGATTCTCAACTTTCCAGATACTCCAACAATTAGATGCTTTTGAACTTGATGATCTTGAAATAGGCATCTCAGCAATGTTAGCTTGGCTAACTAAATCCATTCTTGGGCAGCAAATAGATTCCAAACAAGGTGCTTCATCGTGTTGAGTTACCATACATCCCAAAGAAGCATAACCAGGAGGGGCAATGGGGTACCAGAAGAAAACTTCATCTGTGCCTTTCTTGCCTATACGAGCAACTTGTGTAAACTGGACAGGTTTTGCAGAAATTTCAGGGTCATCAGCTTTGAAAATGATGCCTAATGGAGGAGGTTCCAAGCTGAGAAGCAACATTACAAAAAAGAAAGATAAGTAACCTGATACTGCCACTAAAAAATACAAAAAAGTAACAAAGATTGCATAAAAAGAAGTTCTAACCCTTCAGTTATACAGTCACCCAGTATGGCATATCCAAGGCGTGGTATAGGTCTCCATATTGAAAATGGTCTCCGAAGATCACCACCTCTGTCCCACCAGATTCGTTCAAAATTTGGGGTTGACATGTAATATGTACTTGCTTTAGATATTGATCTTAAAACATCCCATCCAGATGAAGTTGAACCCTGATTACTTGTCTGGAGGCAAGCATTTTCCTGTCCAGTATTGAAATCCAAGAGAGATTCATTTGATGAAGATTGACGCTGGCTAGAGTTCCATAGAAGAAGATGATTCAGGTCAAAACAAGAATCTCTGGAGGGACAGCCAGAGGATGGATGGGCGTAAAATGACCCGAGACAGTTGTCAAGTCGCCATATGCTAAATCCGGATTCAAACAAATGATTAGCAGAACTATTGAGTAAACATTCTAAATATGTTGATGATGTCACCAGATCGGAACGAATACAGTGAACAATGTGACTTGGAGGTGGTTGACTTCCAACATGTGCAACACACCCTAATGCCAAGTATCCAGGAGGTGCAATGGGTAACCAAAGAGAACAGTCACTATCAGCACTTGAAAGAATTTGATCAGTCTGTTGTCCCTGAATACTTGAAAATAAACCAATGAGCTTAAAACCAAGAGGCTTTCGTACACGACCGTATGCGTTACTTACAGCCAGGACTGACTGTGAAGGGGGATTTGGCCTGCACAGTATGAAATGGAAACAGTTAATGCATACATCAAAAAAGGGTGACAGGAGACATACATTAAATTCGGAGAGAGTAGCTTACTATGACAGGACATTTATAATTTGCTCATAAATCGGGTTACATTTCAAAGCAAACATAGGCATCAGTACAACCATAACCACCACTATATATAAAAAATAATTTAAGCTGCTATATACGACCCAAAATAGATTAAAAAAACAAAAACCAAACCTGGAAGTCCCCTGCTCTCCCAAACCCAAGAATCAAACAACAGCAGATCTTTTACTATCACATTTAGCACAAATGATTTTTTCTACAAGGTCTCCGACACAAATAAAGATGGATACATAAATTATTTATATTCCCTCCGTTTGAAATCAACTGTCATTAAAGGTTTTGTACCCATATTAAGAAAGCTACTAAATGCATTACTAAATATGCATGGATCATAAGGAAAAATTATAACATGATTAAGACTTAAGTCCATCCCACTAATTATTTCTCCATTAGTTACTTATTTTCATTGTGAGAGTTAATGTTTGAAATAATTTATGAGCAATGAAGATAATACTGGAAAAGGAGTAATTAATGCATCATTTGGATTCTATAGTGACACATAAGAAACAATCAATAAGGTAATATGTATTCCACGATTACCTTGAGGTCACACAATCACCCAAAACAACATAGTTTGCCGGTGCTCGAGGTCTCCAAAATGTCATATTGCTGAGACGCCCATTTGCTGTGAACAAGTAAGTACAATAAATCATGTACAGTCAGACTTCTATAGAAAGAGGCAGAGCGGGTTAAAGAAAAAAATATATAAATACTTAAAGAAAAACAACAGACACCTTTTGGGGACACCCATATCCGATCAAAATTTGTACAAGGTGACAGGGGGTCAGCATTTCCAAATTGCAGTGCTGTAGATGCCTGACTTTGAAGATTTAGTAAAAGGGAAACCACACTTAGAGAAAGATGAGCATAGATATCGGTGGACACTACAGATATGTTTGTTTTATCTTTGACTGAAGTAAATCCCCCAGAAACATCCACTGGATCAAGAACAACAAGACCAGAACCAGCCTCCACGGTTAAATCCTTGAGAAGGCCCCTTATCCATCTATCATCTTCTTTTGATGCATACCTATTGAGCAAAACCAAAACAAGAGATAAAACTTGTATTCCTGCATGGAATAAAGAACAAATGCAGTGACTAAAATTTACAGTGATTACTGAGGTGAAGGATTTCTCAACTGGAATATCCTAATATTCCATTGTGCAAAAAGGCATAACCACATAGATTCAACTCATCCGCTTATTGTACAAGAACATATTCTACATCCACAGTCAAACATAAATTGCCAAATTAAAAAATCCTTTAAGAGGCAAGAGCATATATCTGGAAAAGGGATGTAGCAATTACTACAAATCAACGAGTTCCTGAGCTGCCTTAATTCCATCTGGTCAGAAACTTTGCTCTAGAATTTCATGTGATGAAAACCATTAATAAGTAAAAGCTAAGACTCACATGAAGCTAAAGTCTGTTTTTGCACGTAGAAGCTTTTCACCATGTGTAGAATCGTCCAAGAATGACTTACTGCTGTCATAGAAGGTGAATTCAGGAGAAACAACCTAAAAAATGAAAAAAAAAAAAAATCAGGAATAAAGACGGCGACAAAATCATGTTCGAGCATGCAAGTGAAATAGACATGTATTAAAAGAGTCAAGTACTTCTCATTCCCCAAAGCAGATTTTGAGAATTTATTTTCTGACACCTAGATGTTGTGAAATAACAAATTGTGGACATGTTAGGCATGGAATATTTCATTGAAAGGCAATATGCGAGTCTAGTTTGACAAAGCTCAATCGCAGAACACAGCGTGCCAGCTTCAAAGAAGCCAACAGGAAGATCAGAAAATGACATAAACACAGCCTGCCAGCTTCAAATCCAGTCTCCCATGAAAGGACAAAAGATATAGAAGTCGACTGTCACTTTGTAAGACAGAAGATTGAGCCGGGCTGCATTGCTATTGAATTTGTCAACTCAAAGAAGCAATTGGCTAATGTTCTCACTAAAGCTCTTAGAGGTCCTTGTATTGAGTATATATGTAACAAGCTAGGAGCATATGATACATACGCTAGAGCTTGAGGGGGAGTGTTATCAATCACTTAAATTAGGGGATTACAACTAGGGATTTGATAGGCATATATTATGGCTATCAAATCAATCATATTGATTCTTAGTTTGTATACCTCTATGCTTTGCTAATAATAAACACTCAGCATAGAGGAAATATTTCTCCTATGTCTCTTTTCAGTTTGAAGTTGTTATACATTAACATCTGACTTTCTTTTATCACATAGGAGCCGTGTGAGATGAAAGTCTCATACGAGACATCAGGAATAAAACCATGATAACTCATTAATTACTAAACTATTTATTCATAATGGCTAACATGTCGGCACGTTAAATCTCATTCTTTCAGGTAGCATAATTGGGTTAAATAGAACAGAAAATCTAAATAAAGATCAAAACGAGAAACAGATCTGGAGCGGAAAAATGGAAACGCTCAAAGTGACAACTTTAAACTGGGAATACTCTAGGCATGGCTAAGAAATTCAAGGAAGGACTCAAGATGTAGAAAAAAGAGGATGCATGAACTTAATGAAAGAAGAAAAAACAACTATAAAGTCTTCTCAGAAACCTTATCATGTACTGATTGGAGAGCAAACTTGCATATGAGACATGTAACCACTAGTTTAACATCAAATTACATGGATATAATACTGAACCTATTATATTTTTAATATAGAATTAGCACTCATTACTCATTAGCAATTGATTTGCATCAGTCTGATTGGAGAAAAAATTTATCCTTCAAGTTTTATTTATCCAGTAAAAGAAACTTGAGAGATGCAAGCATAATATACTGCAAAGTAAAGCATGCGATAAAATACGCAAGCAAACAGAATGTAAAGTCGAAAGACTCATTATCAAAAGATAATTATCCACTATCCAGAGTTTAAGATTTATCTACCTGGGCCTCAAAACTGAAACTCGGCATTTTACTTGATTCATATTGAGCTGTGCCGGAAGCATGTGAGATGTGTGACGATTCTTCCAATTGATCCGAGTCTTTATGGTTTTTATTCAGAGAACTATCATCCAGAAAAGATACTTCGACGCCATCTTCTTGGGAAAGTGAATAGCTGCTATCATTGCTCAAGTATGTATATTTCCTCAAAAGCAAGCCATTCTAAAAAATAAAGCAAAAAAAAAGTAAGGTTAGTTAGAAGCAGGGAAGGAGTTTTACAAACACTCCTAGTCTATATATGTAGGCCGAACTATCAGTCAAATCTAACCATGTTATTGCTAATGTCTAGTTTCTAGTTACCCCTGATTAGGCTACTTCAAGTGTGAGTCACCCAGTCATGGTGGCCGACATTACAGACTATCTTTTCTGAGCTGACTCTGGCTGGAGTATGTGTCCCAACAGAATGTGACAGGACAACTCGTCTGCCAAGCCAACTCTGACCGGACAACTATATGTATGACTCTAACTGATCACCTGTTATGTTTGCTTCTTTTTTGTTAACAAGTTGAGCTATGATTCAACTTAAGAGGGAATGTTATAAATATTTTACTTTGCATCCTATTTTTGTCTGACAGCTTCCAGCTAGCTGGGAATGTTCGAAGATATTTAGGAATCTATTTAGGTCTATGTGGTAATCATGGATATCTTAGGTTAGTAGATTTGTGTCTATCTTTGGAAGAATTCCTTATTTAAAGGTGTACTCTTATCCCATCTTTATATAAGAGAGTGGGACATCATATAATTTGTCTGGCTACTCTGGCTTTTCTATAATAATTTTATTTTGCTTTTCCATTTGACCCTACTTTTCTATTCTAATAGTATCAAACAATTGAAAACAGAAGACATAAAAAAATAAATAGAATTTAGAAATAGTTGGTACCTCAAATTTTACATTTGTGAACCTCAACCGTTTACCCCGCCCTATGATAATAATGGGCCGGAAAACCGACAACTGAAACTCTTTCTCTTCTTCCTCATTCACAAGACGGATTATCTTACCACAGCCATCATATATGTATTCATCAATCCCAACAGTATCAGCTATAAGTTGTTGACTTGGAGATAACTGCACCACATCTTCTATTTGTTTATATAGAGGAGCGGAAAGAACTATGCCGTTCTTCTTACAAATTGGATCATTTTTGGCATCCATCATATCGTCCCTCCCAGTTATAGTCCCCAAGGCAGGCACAAAAAACTCGCAGAAGGCTAGAAGAAAATCTGGAACAACAAGAACACGAGGCTGCTGCACTCGAACTACAAATGATTGCGATGAGAGTCGCCATCTCCCATCCATTAAAAACATTGTGGAATTTGGTAAATCAACATTTCTTTCAGGAGACATCTGCTTTGGGGCATCAGTGCACGAGCCAAGCATCAGCCTCATTTCAGCCTTTGTATTGGGACGAATGTCTAATATAGAGAACTTCGGTATTGTAATATATAGGTCAGCTTCACTTAATGATGTCATTCTGTATGAAACCCAAAGACCTTCAAGCTGCAAAACAGGAAACCCATTGAAAAGCAAGCATGAATTCATAAATTAGATGTAGACATGGGCATAAAATACACAAACACCCCATATACAAATTATACTCACAATAACATGAGCCAAAGGAGATTCTTTATCAGCCCCATAGCACAGCTCTAGCAAGGCATAGTCTACTTCAACAGCCACTATAGTAACAGTACGCGACAGAAGGACCTGGCTATTCATGTTCACCTTATCAGCTAGCAATCTTATTGTATCCTTTGCAGAAGATTTGCTGCTTCGGAAACTAGGAGGAAGAGTAGGTTGTTCACATAGGTTCATGTAGAAACAATCCAGAAGAATATTATATTCCTTATCAGACATTACGGCGTGCAACGAACCCACCTGTTCCACAAGAAAATGAATGATGATATCACTGTATTTATACAAAATTATTTGGAGATCTCACGTTAAAGATATAGATGTTTCCAGAGAATTACTACATAGGCTTGAAATAAACAAATGATTCACTTCAAGCACTGTCACACACACACACACATATATATATATATATATATATATATATATATATATATATATATATATATATATATATGTGTGTGTGTGTGTGTGTGCGTGTGTGTGTGTGTGTGCGTGTATTATGTCATAACTAGTTCTGCAAAGCCTTAAAATTTCTTTTACCCCATATGGGTGTTTTGGGAAGTATAACCCCCATCCGGCATTTTTTCACCCCCCCCCCCCCACCCTATTTCTTCATAAGATTTTGAAACAAATTAGCTCCATCAATTTCCAGAAATGTCGCACAGAGCATTTAAATAAACCCTAAATTACCCAATTCAACTAACTGTTCCCCTTAGTCTACATTTAGATCTGAATACAGTGTGGAGACACAAAGCTAATTATCCGACATTAAGGACGCTGTGTCTTAAAAACAAAAGATAATATGGGGTATACAGTAGAATGTAGGGCTCTGAAACTAAATGTGGATGGCTAAGAAATAGACAGAATAAATCAGCAACAATGTTTCTAAGTTCATTACAAAAATAATGTTTAGCTACCTGATAGACTCACTAAAGTTCTACATGATTTCACCAAAATTCAGCAAAGCAAACAAAATAAGTAAGTTAAATGCAGACAGCCTCTTACACATGTTGGTGAGAAAAAAACAGGAGAACGAAAATGAATGTAATAACGATAAAACACCCGTAATCACATAAACTTCCAATTAAAAGTTACTCCAGTGAGAGAAACAAATGACGATCAAGAAACAGAATGAGAAGTAATAGTAACGGAAAATTACTTTAACTTCCAAATTGAATGTTGGGACTTTGCGAAAGACGTCTCTCAAACTGCGCCTAACATAAACATGAACTTCTCTTCCTTCCCGTATCATTGGTTTTCCAATGCAGCCATGAATTCCAACAGCCATATTGATTCCCAGAATCTGTATACATGCAGATAGAACCAGAGTAAGGACCGATTTTTGGACTAGTTTCTAAGACTACAAATGAAAATAATAACCTCTGCATCAAGAACATCAAGATGGACAGCAGACGTATCTTTCTCACGACATCCATGCCAACTGAATGCATTTCTGATCCGTAGATGGCCAAGATCAAGTTGCATGAAACTGCATTAACAGATTTGTGAACATAACATTTCCACTCAACAGAAAGGGGTTCTAAAAAGGCCACGTTTGTTTCTAAAAAGAAAAAGAAAAAGGAATTTCAGCTTCAAATCAAATAATATAAATATTAAAATATAATAACCATCATGTTTTGCAGATATGAAGCAAGCAAGACAAGGAGACAGCATATAAAAACTCATGAACCTGATTTCCATGTTATTTGAATGTACATTTAACATATCATGTCCACTCGACAAAAACGAGGTACTGGAAAGATCTTTTTAGATTTTTACTTCTCAGTTCTCACAAAGAAAGTACAAAACAAATTTACCATCATTACTAAAAGGTAATTACCAACAACTTTTGCAGATAAGCAAGAGAGACAAACATATAGTATTTTAAAACTCCCGCTACCAGATTCCTTTGTAATTCTATGTTAAGAAAAATAAGATTAAGTCAATGAAATGAAGGAATATGATAAATTCAATAATCATTCCTCAGGCTCTCAAAGATCAAAACGTGAGAGACCTGCAAAACATCCTGAAGTTCTGAACGACCTAAAATCCTTTGGGAATTGAAAGAAGTCCGTTAATATAGATTGCGGTATGTTAAATCATAAAGTAAACAAAAATTTGAACAAATTTCACATGTTGGCTACCAAATGTCATAGTATCCCTTCAAAATTAGTGGAAGGGGAGAACACCTTCAAGAACTTGAGCACTAAAAATATTTGCTGGTTTTACTGCAAATATTTAAAGATTCAAACAATCCATTACAGCATAAAAGTGGACAACAAAGGAAAGGTATACAGGAAGAAACTGCCAATCTGTAAATCAAAGACTCTGAGAAACTAAAAAGTCCTTGTAGATTGTCGGTAACTGGGTTTGTTCAATCTTCAGTAATATGTGTGGAACTAATTTGAATCTCAAGGTTATTAAATAACTACTACTGATAAGCAAACCCTCAAGGTATTAAATAAATCTACCAATAACCACGCTAGATCATAGGGTGGGCTTGAACATGGTTGGTAGAATCTATCGCTTAGACTTAAACAGTTGAATATTCCTCATGGGATCGATATCCGGATTTAATTGTACACTATATTACTTGTTCGATACGAGCACTTGCGTGTAGGTATTATCACCAACACTTTACAGATTAGAAATGCACATTCGGTAAAACTACTATGATGGGAAAACTAACTCTTTGCTCAGTGAATTTCTTGGAACTACTATGATGGGAGTGTCCAGTAAAAGGTCCAGCTTTACAGCAGATGCTCCATCGACCTCATATTTCTGAATCAACCATTCAATTCCTCCAACTTTATCAACAAGTTTTATCGCTTCTTCAGTATGAGGAGTGGCAAGCTCCATGAAGTACGCAGTTATCTGCATATGTACATTCACCAGACTGAGAACTTTAAAAGCAACAATTTTTCAGATTATTAAAGTAGTATTTTTATATATACAAGAAACTCGCAGCTAATGTGGGAGAAAAAGGAGAAAAGGGAGAAATGAGATATAGGAGGTTCCAGCAATCTAATGTACTTCAAAGAATATTGTGTAACCTCACTGTAAGATATTAGAACCAAAAAAGTACCTCCTGGACAAATCTGTAAAGGAAAACAATGCGGACAGCAGAAAGCCGGCCACTCAAACTGTAATCATACCCTTCATAATCATCATCTCCAATGCTGTAAGAATTGAATGTAAACTGGAGAGAGCCGAGATGAAAATGAGATCAACACCAGTTAGAAACAGAATACGGGAGAAAAAAAAAAGTTTTATGCAAAATATTCAAATACCTGTATCAGGGATTCAGCTTCTTGGTTCCGCAGATCGCATAGCCAACCCCAAGAGTGATCAGACCCAAGTGATAGATCACACAGCCTAAAGTTTCCTAATGTGCCCTCTATAGATGTAGAACTTGGATGAACCTTAATCAAAGCAAGAACTGTTTATGATGATTGACCGTGATGCGGAAAAGAAATAGTGGATAAAGAAAGATTGCTTGGATACATAATGCATAACTATAATCGATTTAGAAACAAAACTTTTTCTACATAAAACAATAGGATCTCCTGATTAAAAAAAAAATATTGAAAGGCATCTCTAGTACCTTAATATCCAAAAGAAAACTTTCTTGCACGAACATAGCAAGTTGAGCACCGTCTTCCTTATTAAGATAAATGGTAACACTGTCGACATTCATGTTCAAGTAAAACACAATTCGACCCTTTCCATACCCTAGTAGTCCCTTAATGGAAGGTGCATGTACATGTTCCTCTGTCTTGCGTTTGTTTGCTAAAGGTTCATCGTCGGGATTTTCTATTTTGGTAGCACTAACCCCACCATTTGCTGAGCTTAGATCAAACCCAAAGTTAATCAAAGCAACAAGAGTGGGTCGGTTGCAATAGAATTCCAACTTCGACATCCGGATACTCATCTGGAAAGTTCATTACATGACTCAGCGATAAAATATGGAGGATTATAAAATTATTTTTCTCTCACAGTTTCTCGTTCAAAATATTACCTGGGTATCTATACCATCATAATCAGGGGAACCGGGATTCCTCGTCAAGAATGTGACAGACACAAAATCAGAATCATCAGAGCCTATTGCCTCATAGAAAACATCACCAGGAATGATATTTCCTTTGATCAAATCCTTCTCTTGGACACCAGTTTCAGCAGAGTCATGAAAAACAATGAAATCTGGCAAGGCATCCTTGAAAATATCATCCTCCTCAACTGGCACTGCAGAGGGATCCTTCCCTTGAGATTCTAAACTATTAGAGGAGCTATGTGAATGTCGATCCATGATAACTGAACAGGCTAAATACTGTGAATGTGCAGACAGAGAACCCTGAAGTTTGTCCATAATTTTTAAAGAATTCAGCTTCATTTGTACTGTCAAATCGCCCATACAGCTCGAAACATGAACCTGCAGAAAATAAGAAATTATCATATTCAGGCATGTATCAGAAATGTCAGTATAAGATGATAATCATGACAGTTTCTATGTAAGAATCTTTAAAATCTAATGTTAACAAATGAATGCTACAAGTATTAGTAACTTAACAAGATACTCAGAATACAGCTTAAGCTACTTGTAAAACTCAAACTCCAAGTTTCATGAAAAACTTCCTCCAATTTTTCAGCCAAACCAAATCATTTACCGACCTTTCCTCCACTAGCAATAACTTCAAGTATGATCTTCTCATGTATCCTCTCATGCTCCTCATCCCCAAACTGAAAATATAGAAGAAAAATGAAACAACAAGTTATAGTGAAATAATGATTCGCAGAATGCATAACTGAAGAAACAAGTGAATTAAGTTCCTCCGAAAGAAAAGAAAGGGGCAAAATCGCTACTTGTTATTAGAAATGACGCCAAAGTTACATAACTGCTTCTAGAAACAAACAAGACAAAGTTCCCTAATTTTCTGACCTTTCCGTATAATGACAATTTAGTTTCTACCACCATCCCATTGACAACAAGATCAGCTGCTTTTTCATTCCTCACCCGGGATTCAGTAAACTCTATTGGATAATCTCTCTGACCATCAAGAACATCAACTGAAGGAGGAGCCTACATCCACATAATGGAGAGTTAGATTACGTAACCAGTACATTGAACGATGAGAAGACTGCGCTATACAAGAAATGTTCATAACTTACAGAAGCTCGGTATGTACTTTGTACAAGTCCTCTCAACCAAGTCGACTTTTCCTCCTCACTTGGAAACTCTACTATCAGAGTACTAAAAGACTCCAGAGCCTTGTTTGCAGAGCAAAAGAAAAAAATAAAAGAGCTATTATTTGCTTAAGAATAAGAAGTTACATCATAACAAAAGGCATATAATACAGACAGCATTGACAGCTATTTAGAAGAGATCTACCGATCATCATATCTTTCATACACACTAAAAAAGATAAATTTAGTAACAGGAGCTTCAGTTCACAGAACATCAAGGATATTGCTAACTGATCAAAATGCTGGGACAAACGAAGAGGGAGAATTCAGACATACAAAGAAGTTACAATAAATGGGTATACTTAGGGGGTTTCAAAAGAGATTGTTACATATCGGAACCTAGTTAGTCAGAATACTCTATAGCCATTTCTCATCAACTAACAAATGAAGCTGTGCCCAGTGCCCACCAAACAGCCGAGAAAAAATGTTATGTTTGAGAAATGATGGAAGAGGGCGAAAATATGGAGCACTAGTCATGTGCATCAATATAGAACAAAACATGCATTAGAAGCCTGTCCATCAATGTAGAAGAGTATATAGAATGGTAAAATGGGTTCCAGGAAATGCAAAAGATTGCTCTTATCTAATCGATATTGAGAACGCTTAAGAAATCACCCTTTCCCCCAGTCATCATCATTAAATTGTTATCCTTTTCGTGCGGGTTGGTACAAGAGTCTTTTCTTTTTGCCAATCATAAGAAGTCTATTTCTCTGTAATATTATATTCATTAAGACTCTTCTCCTCTGCTATATCACATAAATCTTCACATCATTCAAAATGAGGAAGGATATTATATCAAGTCTAAAGTATTCCACAATGATGTCCACAAAATGCTTAAATACATGTGCTTTCCACACCAACATCCCGCAAAAAGTTTCTAATAATATCGAACAAATGTTTAAGCATTGATTAAATCAACCATAAGCTAAGATGAAATTTTATGATTAACAATGTTGGCAAAGAACTACTATTAAATATCACTTGACTGCATCACCTACCTTTCGAATATCCATGCCTCTGCTGCTCACAGCAATACAAAAAGGCGAACCACCAACATTTGCCGGAGGAATATCACATACTTGTTTACCAGACATGCTGCAGTTCCAGAGCGGAGAGAATAAAAACAGATCATATTTTAAATCTCAACGCATGGTATTCAAAAGAAAATATTTTTGAACTCCTGATAGGTCATTTTCTCAACCAAACGTCTTTCGGAGAAAAAAATACCATAATTTAATATTAAGAAGGAAAGTGGAAGCAAAATAGAAGACCTTGAGCACCGTTGATAGGTTTGGGAAGTTTTAGATTCCAACACATAAAGGTGAAATCCAGATAAGACAAGAAAACAGGGTTGCCAGGAAGCAACTGAATAGCCAATTCCCTGCATAAAAATAATATGACAAGATGATGTCAACACTAGCAACTAATTTGCAGGGCATATAGCATTTCAGGGTATTAACGTACCCTCCAAACGAGAATTCTCGCCTCAGCTACAAGATCTGGTGGATTCCAGCGGACAAGACCAGTTTGAAGGTGTTCTACAGTATGATCCTCATCACTGGGCATTGCACGATTGAGTAACTTTAACAATTCAGTGAGCCTGAAATATCTGTCAGGAGAGAAGTGTATGCCAAGACTTGGGATTTGAACAGATATTCTTGTTGATGGATGATTCGGATGAGGTACCTTAACCTTAGTGGTCATATAATGCATATCAATAAGATCCTTTTAAAACTCAATACATAAGATTTGATGAACCTTTTTTGCTAATATACCTGATCTACAATTACATCCATTCCACACCTATCGATAAGAGAATACAGTTTGTCAGCATCTTCAGAACTGGCAGAAATGGAAGGTTGTGATCCCCAATTCACGGAGTGACTGTTAGAACCACAATCAGTAAAGAAAGCTGCAATATCCCTTCCAGATATATGAAAACGAGAGTATAGACTGTGCCCACGATCATGGAGCTGCCCATCTTCCTGTCATAGAGATAAAATAAGTTCACTCAATCCTTCATCGCATATGAGTAAATTCAAAAAGTGAATAAAAACTAACATACCTTTGTTTTCAAAGTGAAATGACCAAAATCTAATAGAAGATGGCTGTCATTTTCAATGGAGGTACAAGATCTTATTGGAACTCTAACTTTGGGAGCATCAAGATCAATGTCAAGAGCAAATCTGATCATACCAAGAAAAAAACATTAAGGTCCTCCTAGAAGTCAGGCATCTTAAGAATAACAATATACATCACTATAACAGCCTTGATAATTTCCTCTCCATAGAAAATCCATGTCTTAGCAATTTAAGAAGATGCAAACGCACATAAGTGGTGCCTATACTTATCCAACCTTTTCATACATCAACACGGAGTGATAAAAGGAAAGCAATCTGGAGTCCAGAGAATTGTTATACATAAAAAAGAGAGGCGCATACCGTGGCTCAAGGATACGAATCCTAAATCTAAACGACACCATATACCAATATAAAGTGTCAATGTCCATATTAAGAAATTAAAGGCCAGAAAGTACAAAATTATTTTAGCAAGAGATCGGGAACCATCACTATTATGTAATTGTAGATCCCAAAGGAGACGGCTGGAGTTTTTTACTGCAAGGAAAAAATAGTTTTGCAGAAATAACTATTTTCCTAATAATTACCATTCTTTTACTGACATTTCAGATTATCTAAACACATGAATAGTTAGACAAATAGTATACTCAGAACTCATCCCCACGTTCCTCTGAAACAAAAGAAAATGAAAGTCCCTAATACGGACATTATGTGATAATAGTGAAGCTATTGAGCACATGTAATATCAAAGATATAAATGAAAAAGAAAGGGCCACCAATGTTCAGTCCAATATAAGAATAATAATTTCCATGCAATGGCCAAACATGTATACATAGTTTCAGCCAGCTGACCACTTGATGACCTTGAATAATTTTCTTTGGCTTATTTGGTGTTCCATAAAATAAGAGTAAAAACGGTAATATTTCTACCAATCTTAAAACAAGCACACACGTTTTTTAATCCAGATACAAAAGTACAAATTAGACATAAAAGACATTGCATGAATATAGAAGGATTCTTCTAGTCAATAAACATAAGAAGTTGACCTGCTCTGCTCTTCTAATACCATTTGAAATTGCTCCTGAGCTCTCCGAGTCACTTCTTCAATTTTATTCTGTCCATTGAATTAATTTCTCATACCTTAGCGTTGACCAGCAAATGTTATGTATGAAGTAATCAAATCTACCAAAGGAAGGGCTTCTCGAAGCAAGATTTTGCGAATTATAATACCTGCAAAGCAGTTGCAGTTTCCATCGCAACAGTAGGACTAACATCAGTGCTCCTCTTCACAAAATGTAAAAAGCGGTCATAACTTTCCACAAGCACCTATAACATTCAATCCAAGAAAAACAGAGGCAAATAAGAACTTCTGTAAAAGTTAAGCAGTTAAGAATGATGAAGGAATGAGATCTGGGATAAGACTTCAGTGTATATGAATATGAAGGATCTTATTTCATGATGAATATAATAATAAGACAGTTTTTCATTTTTTTCATATCGAAAAGACAATTTTTTAGTCTATCCAGAGAAGAAATTACTACTCTAGCAAAGAAGATATCCATGGATAATGAATATTCATCCATACCCAACAATTTTGAAGGAACAACATGCCTTGACCCTAAAGCATAACTAATCATAACCAATTCTACAATGAAATAAGCATAAACTTTTGGCACTTCGTACATTGTAATAAAGGTGAAAGATGGAGAAAAAAATTAATGTAGTCGGTATATATAAAAGAAGCAAATTACCGTGACATGACAAGGAGAAATTGTTGCTGAAAGCCTCCAATCTACATTTTCTCCTGCTGGAGTATGCACAAAACTAGCTTGCAAAGCATTCACCTTCTGCTCACTGGAGACACTCTGAGCCGAAAGACAAATCAGCAAAAGAGAAAATTGAGTAAACGGTCACACCCAAGTGAAAAAGGTGAAAGATACTTTTAAGGATCTATAAGACTAGCAATATATAAATTATATCACAATAAAGGGTAGTCATAATAATTTCTGGACATTAAAAAGAACAGCTACAACATTTTCCACGTCATTCAGATGTCAGTAACAGTAGTGAGTTACTAAAATAGGCATTCAGAAGAATATATATATATATATATATATATATATATATATATTATTCTTCTGAATGCCTATATATATATTGACGAAGAAGTCTTTAAAGATTCTGAAACCACAAAAAAACAAGATATTTTAGTCAATCGAGAGTTTTACTATGAAAATACTTCACTGCAAGAAGACAAACCTGGGCAAGCGATCCTTCAGGTGAAGATAATCCATAATATTGCAACGTTACATCACAATGGGTGCTCCGATGTCTAAACTTAGTAGACACATTAAGATTCTCGAATCGACCACAAACAATCTCAGTGTTATTAATATTGACTATCCTGGCTGCTGCTTTACTGATGGATACATTTATCATATAGTGAATCATGTTCTGCATATCCTTTCCAATGTGAGCCAAATCCTCATCTGGCTGGAAGCTCAACAGCTTATTGACTGCTTCCCATTCTTCTTTCGTTAATCTATCTTCAACTGACTGAGATACACTTGAAGTGTCAATTGAAGACTCGTCTTCAGAATCGCTTCGCCTATTAGATAAAAGACAATTAATAGGAAACACATCTCTTGAGAATAGAGATAAATAAATCTAAACTGGAAACAGAATATTAAAGCTAATGCATTTCTGATTTTTTTCTAATGGCTTGCAGAAATGCTGGTACATGATCACAAAAGCTTCGCACAGCAGCAAGAAGTAACAGAAAATCTCAAGGAAATTAGTAATACAGTTCCAGAAAAGAAATTAGTTCACTAAAATGTACGGACCATCTCAAGGAAAACCAGCTTCTTTTTCTAAGCAGTCTCTGCTCATCTGCTTCCTTCGATTTTACTGATTCAACCTTTGCATGGGCAAGAAACCTAAATAATTATCAAGAAAACAAGATCATCACTCTAGTTGTGCTGATAATAATAATAGAGAGGGAGCATTAGCAACCAAAACCAGACAAGTAAACCCAAGCTACAGTTCAAACAAAACTCTGCATCTTAATCCACATAAATTGCAGGAATCAAAACTATCAGCAAAATAACCAGAGAATGGCAGGTCGTGCAGCGAACAAAATATTGTATGATAAGATTTTTTCCTAACTATGTATGTATGTATGTATGTATGTATGTATGTACACACACACACACACACATATTCAACAGTAAATTAGTATTCAGATAAGTAGGGAAAACTCTTTCGATCACTTCTTACATAATTTGTTGTAAAATCTAGAGAAATCACAAATTTCTAGCACATACCTCCATAACAGGATAACTTTTGGATCAAGGTCTTTTTCAATGTCTCTTATTTCGGAATTATCTACATGTAACCGTTGCAATGAATCAGCATATAACTGCACATATCGCCTGCGAAGACGACATAGACGCTGGATTTGCTCCCAAGAAAATCTGTAACTGTCAGGATATAAAAATGGATAAGTTAATTTTGGGAGAAAAGGATACTGAAAAAACAGTGTGCCTAGTTACCCAGTATTCCCAATAATAACGCGATTCAACAGTGAGCGCAAGATGAAATCTGAAAGTTCCTCATTAAATACTTGAGATTTAGGTGACTTTTTTTCAAATTAACCAAATTGAGATCGGAAACCCGTTCTAAACTATTATGAGCTAATAAAAAAAATCAAGTTGTAAATAAATATATAATCTAATATCAATAATTTTAAAAGATATTGCACGGATATAATAATATTAATTGCCTTACAGGTAATAAGGAAGTGCGTTGGAACGGAACTTTTGGTCACTTCGGTTTTCGATTCAATTGCCTTCATATTTATATTCTTATCTTATATATTTTTTTAACTGAATATCATAATACAGTTGTTTATGGTAGTGTGTGCACGTGGGTATTCGTGCATTTGCACCTATGTCCAATAAAAGAAGTATAATTTTAAGTCCAGTCCCAATTGCAATGGAATGAAAAGTCCTTTAAACTTTTGATATCGATTTAGACGGATCCAGTCCGTTTCAAGTATTTCCTCTTAATGCTACCAACAGTCTGGAATCATAAATAATGCACATGTTCAGTTCTATATGTTGAATGTCACTTTTAGATAGTCAGCGTTCATTTCTAGAATTTATAAAATAAAATTACCACATCTTCTTCTGCTGCAAACCAGCTTGAGCAGCATAACGCCACCATAAGGCGGTACCCTCTGAAATTTGCACCATTGGTCTTAAATGAGAGACTTCGACGTGTGTTCTATACGTAGATATGACCTCCATAAGTTTAATCCAGTCGTGATACTGAGCCTAAAATGAGGAGCATATCATGTAAATGCTTGCTCCATAATCAAACAGAAATTTTTTAGAAGTCATAAAAAATGTATGAAAAGATAAGGAAAAATATTAAAAATCATGATAGGTAACAGAAAGATGGCGAGGGAAGAGAGGATTCTTATTTACTGAACCCTCGGTTGCAAACGCGCAAAGATGCAAGACATTCTGCAGGCGCATAAAATGTTGAAACGTAAAATGAAATATTTATATTACAAATAAAACTTTAAGAAAAAGGACATTCTACCACATAGACAGTCAGACAGCTATTGTCTCAGATGCGTTTGAAAAATCTGCTGTTAAAAAAACCATTATCTTTATACGCTTGGTCTGCTATTCAATTTTATTTACCATCACAAAACATGTGTAGACATATTCAGATGTACAAGATTCTCAAATCGAGCACATATCACGATTAAGTAAACATGAAATTACTGATAGCACTTTTAAGTCAAGAAACTCAAGATTCATACCTCTGTAATAGTCAAAGAAACATCAGTGATGACAAGAGAAGCCTTCTCAAAAGGATCACTTGAATCATTTTTTTCCTGGTTTCCTAGACGATGGTACTTAAGAACTCCATTGATTGGTGAAACTAAGTAGCTCCGGTCTTGAGCGCATGGTGACACTAAAGTGCTTCCTTTTGAAGATTCATTAATACCATCTTCAAAAATCTAAACAGCATTAAAAGAAAAATTAATAATGATAAAATAAACATAAACAGTAAGATAATAAAATGAAATTAACTCAGACATAGGACAAGACCACAAATAGCTCAAAATAAAGAATGTACCTCAATCCATTCCCGAGGGGTAATATCCTCCCATCTCTTGTCCAACTTCCAAGGATCACGATCAGAGTCGTGATACATAGCAAGCCTTTCGAGATGTAATGACTATCATAGAAACAGGAAAGAAAGCAAAAGTGCAAATCAGTTTAGATATTCTGCACTAATGAGACTCATGGCCTACAATTATAAAGGTGACTTCAGAGGAATTTGATACGTGCACCAATCTTGTATTAACATTTCAAAAGATATCATTGAAGAATATATGATAATTTCACTATAGCATTCACTGAATTCAGAAATCACATTAAGAATTATCATATAACTTTATCTATTAGTAGCACTTCACGCGTAAAACTTATGAACCTCTAACTCTTTCATACCGAATTCAAAAGAGCTACCAGTAAAAAGAATAACATGAAGCATACCTTGCGCAATTTATCTAAAGCACCACTTGTGTCAAAGGTTTCATTGCCCTGCTCATCCATTGTAACAGCAGCAAGCTTTGCAAGGGTAATGCCACAAGAAAATGGATGTCCTAGATTGCTGTAAGAAAACATATTGAGATTTATGTAGAAAGCAAAAGCCCACAAGTGATAACACCAAGACAGAGAGCTTAGCTACTTCGGCAAACTGTGAGTTTAAAGATTAAAAGAGGGAAAGTAAAATCACGTACAGATCACTTGAGCAAATAACAAGGATTACTCCAAATAAAAACCAACCTTACAGAATCTTCGTATCTAATATGAACATTGCTAATAGAAATCTTAAGATTTCCGATAATTGTCGCAATTAGTGAACCCAGCCAAGAATTACCGGCTGGTGGCTGCAAAATAATCACAAAATAAAAATCAATATATATATATATATATATATATATATATATATATATATATATAGGTGGAGAAAAATAAAAAATGTATGAATCAACTTCACATTTTAGAACTGAAATGCTAAAAAAAGACAGCAGACTAACGCGATGAAAACCCCAATTGAAGATCTTCTCTGCTATATATCGATTATAAACGTTCATATTTCTCAATAATTTAGTACACAAAGACGATGCAGGTCGTTTAGAATTATTGATCATAAGAAATCAAGATATTCAAAACAAAATATAAGAAGAAACGAATTTTCCATGAATATATGAATGTATTTAAGAACCATATCATGGTCTACTTTCGTATTCTCCAATCATTTCTATATCCCCATGCAAGCAAAAATAACAAAGAGATATTCTCGAGCTATCAAGACTCAACTCGACAGAGAATGATTGTTGTAGATAAACTGACTCCAAATACTATCTCCAGTCTCCCAAGGAAAAAATTGTCAGAGAGGAGGAAAGAAAGGGGAAAGATGATAGAAGGACCTAGGTTTGGTCAGAACAAAATCATGAAGTGGACCATTTTCTCTGACTCATATCTAAAAAAAAACTTCATTTTATAACATTGCCCTTGGAGATAAAGGAAAATCTGCAAAATAAGTACAAAAACTGATTTATTTATTTTTTTAAACAGAGAGAGAACAATAAAGCTAAACACACCATGTTTATCTGAACCAGAAAAATCTCTAAACAAGGTGAAATTAAATAGTGCAGTGTCATACATTTCCCAGCTTTGATCTTGATATTGCTTCAAGTGTTGCTGCTTCTGCTTCCTGCGTTCGGAGAAATACAGTACTAATAATATTGAGAGAGGCATTAAATAAGAAAATGGTGTTTACTATTATTGGGCAAAGGCGGTAAATATATAATGTAACATCAATGTTTTTAGAAATAGAAACCGCAAAAGGGAATGTTTAACTCTTTTGAGATCCAAGAACTGGCCCTTCTTTTGCAAAACAAACAATTTGAAACAACAACTTAATCAAAGTTTTCATAATTAAATATAAATTTGCCTTTTGAACTGTGTTAGACAGAGATTTTGGCAATTTGAGAAAATCTGTATATCCATAAGATCTAGGATAACTTTTAAAATGACTGAGATGTCCTATTTAGTGCGATTCCGAATTCATGTGTCCTCTATAGACCAACTCCATAAATACCTTTATTGTAAACGGAAATTATTTTGGCGGAAGGCAAAGTGTTGGGTAATATAATCAGGGCAGCCGAATGTATTAATAAGATAAACAACTCAAACTAGATACCAAACTTCATAATTTGGAAGAGCGAATGATGGAAAGATTCAAGCAAAATAAAAAGTTTGTCCGGAAATCATCTTCCAATCAGGTTAAAGAGTAAAATGTTCTAGGAGAAGGCGTATCCATAAGCAGACATGTTTTTGTTTCTGAAATCACATGAAAAATATTCAAGTACAAAAGAAAAATATATTGAAGAAGCTACTCACATCAATTTGTTGTAGTTTGGTCTCAAAGAGCTTTTCCTGGTCTTCTTCCTGAAAGAGGGGATACAAAGATAAAATTGCATTAGGAAGAAAACATTTTATAATGTTCGAGATGAATCAAGCACTTGTCTATTTACTTTTTAAGAGGTAATATGAAATTTTTCAAACCTTCAGAGACCTTCCATCAGGGGCAGGGTTTGCAAGAATAAACACCTGATCAATTAGAACAATGACCGGCTCTTTGCCAAGACCCTTCCAAGGTACCTGATGAGAAAAGGAAAATAATTCAATCATTATCTTCTTCTCTTATATAAAAGAGTACAATAAGAACTTACAAATTTTGGTTGATGAAATCATGAAGGTCGAGCGAGAATTGCACCAGAAAAAAAGCAAAAAAGGAAAAGAAAGATGAACTAAAATACAGAACCATCAAAATCTACATGTATTTAATGTAGAAGTTGCCAACCATGTCGTAGAATGCTACAAAGGTGGTAATCTCGAGATATAATGTGTGTGATGATACTAATAGGCAAATTGCAAAACCATGCCACACGTAGTATGGTTAAGAAAAAAGTCTCTTCTACAGAGACTTGACTTGTTCATTTGTAATTAAATACGTAACATCACTACTGAACAAGAATATCCAGGATAGTTCACATCATAAAATATACCAAGTATGTTCGATATGTTCATGAGACACTTCCCATTCACATGAAATAAATATGAAATCCAAAAGCAGATAAACGTAGCGAAAGTATAAAAATTCGAAATTAAGTCAGTTGACTTCTCAAAACTAACATACAAGAAAGCAAAATCTAGATAACCTCATGGTATATGCTTTGAGTAAGAAGCAATACTCAAGCAAACACAACCAAATAATAAATAGCCTGTCTCTTTTGTTTTTTCATAACTGTGAATGGACTTTTACGGTGTGATAAGAATAATAAGATCCATGAATCTTAACCATCGCGTTTTAAATCAACTTCAGCTACCATATTCAGCAAAGTGGCAAATAGGAGAACAAAAAGGAAAAACTAGAAGGCAGAAAAGCCAAACAACTGGAACTAAATTAACGTGTAAGTGCATGACTGTATCCTCAGGATTATTTGTGAATCCCAGCTATACAGAGAGCAAACACGAAACACAAAGTTACCTTCAAGGTTATAGTGCCAAGGAAACCAGCTTTGACAGTTACAGGAAGCTTCAATGCGTTCAATGCCTCAGCCTTTAATTTCAAATCTTTGAGAACCACATCACCTAGAGAAAACACAGGAATATTAAATGTCAGCTGACGATCCCATCTAAAGCCTTATGAAGGCACCAAAAGCAAACAAAAGCCAAAACAAAATTAGTACATACTCTACAATGCATAAAACAATAAGTAAATTAGCACATATTTTACTGTATTAGCAGACAACATATTTCACATTATAGACAGATAACATTTAAAGGCGCGTATCAAACGAGTTTTTCGGATCTGATAGTCACATAGAAAACACTAAATATTTAGTATGAATTTATTCCTCATTCCCTATATATTATTTAACATTTTCTCTTCAAGTTCCCCTATAGTTCATGTAAGTCTCTCCAATTTAAGCTACTCAGTCCATCTCTCATGTATGAGCTCTTTTTTCAGCCAATGTCTAGACTCTGGATTACTACCGCTGTGCATACACGAAAGGACATTTCAATTAATGGCTTCTCTTCTCGTGATTTCCCCTACAAAGCACTTTACTATGTACTTCAATCTTTAACATCATACTACTGGAATCTATTATCCATGAGCGGTTTGGACAATACTCAAGTCCTTATCCTAGATTGATGATGTTTTGATCCATTTAACTAATCTTCAACCTAACCTACTCTCATGAAACTATTCATCAGATATGCCACCTAAAAAAACCTATCAAAGGTGTTTTTTTCTTTTTTCATACCCCATTCCATCTCTTCTCCACCAGCTTCCTTCTCTATCTTATATTGACGTCTGTAAAAGGCTTACGGACATGATCTTCCATTGCATATTTGCAACGGCTTTCACATTAATTGTGGAAATCATCACTAAATAGGAAGAAGAATAGGAAGAAGGAGAAGAAGGAGAAGAAGGAGAAGAATATGAAGAAGGAGAAGAATAGGAGGAAGGAGGAGGAGGAGGAGGAGGAGGAGGAGGAGGAGGAGGAGAGGAAACAACCCTTTAATATCTTATTTCATCAAAGATGCTAGATAAAACAGAGATCAGAAATCTATTTACAAGGATATAATTAACTGAAAAAACAAAAAACATACAAGGGAACATACAAATCCCAGAATATAGCAACATACCTTTCCACACACTGATTCTCAAGGCTTCCGCCGACAGGCCATGGACATACTCCCCCAAATATTTTCGAAGCAAATGCAAAACCTGTAAGAAAATTAACCAAGAGCAGTAAATCAACACGATTGAAAGATCACTTGAAGACACACCGAGTCAGGCTACCACCATAGTAGAAATAGCTTAAGACTTTACTTATGAGCTCTCTCAGGACATGATATGGTAGATGATAATATCTCAAAAAATTATGGAGAAACCCCTGGAATCCAGAGGCTGCGTATAGCAAATCAAACTATCTACAAAGGAAGTACGGTCATGTTTTGGATTTCTAGTTCTCTCCTTAAGAGATAGTCATGGCACAAGCCTTAAGAGCCATTTGATCCTAGAAAAGAACAGATGTTCAAACAATCACTTAAACTATGCATTTTCATCATGCCTCGGTTTTGTGAGTATTAGCAATACTCTGTTCTTTAACCTTCTGATTATATCATATTATTTTTTCACTAAATATTCATGCCCTCTCTGAGAAACCTATTCTTCCCTTAAAAATTTTGCCATCAAAATTCATAACCTAATCCCATTACATAGAACATTAAGCCCACCAAGTGGTTAAAATTTATAGGGCAGTTTGAGATTCTTAAGCCTCCATACAAACGTCTACACATAAATAAGATCACTGAGTAAGCTAGATTCCCCGCCATTAACCATCCTCATATTAGAGAAAATTCACTTCCACAACAATTCCAACTCAGCAACCATAGACCGTCGTTCTTATATTTCAATGTAACAACAAAACCCACTTATATTCATTTCCATGCATTTCGAATCCACAATCAGCAAAAAATCCCAATATAAGAAAAACTAACAGATGATTAAAAAAAACAAAAAAAAATAAATAAATAAAAAGAGGAAGGAGGCCATAAAATAAGCTTTACATGTGCTTCGAACATGATGAAATTTCAAACTGCCGATCGCTTCAAACAACAGTTTCATAAGTTAATTTCAGCGAGAACGAACGATCGCCGCTGAAAAGCAGCCATTGACCAGTGCAGAGTAGATGTCCGATCGGTAGAAATAATCAATTTTGAGGGCAATGATTTGAAATGAGTGAGAGCTGGAGAAGAGGCTTGTGTTTGTGTGAGAGAGAAACGGTGGTGGGGCTCCAGGTGCTGTGAATTCTAAACATAGAGACAGAGCCGGTCCTTTCTGGAAACAATTTGCGGGTCCAACCGGTCCAAAACGTGACCCGGTCTGAAATTAAATGAAATGGGCTGTTGGAACTTTCTTTGGTATATAAGTTTGCCAAGGCCCATTTCAACAACCAACCATTATTTTCCGTATGGGCCTTCATTTCTTCAAATCACATGGTCTTAGTTATAAGTTAACCTTGCTACTTATTTATTTTCTTAAGTTGATAGGAAACCTTAATTATATGCTGATTTTAATAGGATTTTTTTTTAGTGCATTTAACCTTTGATTTGTGGAATATTCTCTGATAAGCCCCCGCAAGATGGAGGTGTCACCGGCTAATCCAATCTTGATCTTGACAGTGCTCGTGCGTCGTCATCGTAATGGTTTTGTCAATAAATTTGCAAGTTAATATTCTTCACTAATGACATGTCATGATGTTAAATCCTTAGATCACCTGGGATAGTGTGGTAAACGAGTTGGAGAGCAAAGCGGATCAGTAGCTTGTTAATTAGATAGTAGAAAGAATATGAGCTCTAGAATATTTGTGAATAATGGAACGTACCTTAACAAATAAGTAAAATCCTCTATTTATATGTCGTTGATTGGGTCGGGTTTACTTTTTTTGGCCCAAACCTTATTTTAAAGGTGTTTGAGCTTTCGTGTACCGGGGCCAATTATAAGATAAATTGTGGGCTCATTGGGTTGGCCCAATTAGGTAAATCATTAAGTCCCCAACTCTCGAGTCGAGGCGGGAGACTTCTCGAAGGAATACCGAATCGTGTCGAGAGTTAATTGTGCCGTGGTTTGACTTGATGTCATGAGGCTTGCCAACATCGTCTTTTATCACGGTGTTTTGAGTAGGTGTTGTAACCAACTCAACATTTTTCTCATCAAGAAGATAACATCCATTAGCTGTAATAGGCTTTTCATCCACCCGGTACACCTTGAAGATCACTGTTTCTTTCCCCACACTCATTCTTAGCTCTCTCTTTCGTACATCAATAATTGACCTACCGGTTGCTAAGAAGGGGCGTCTTAAGATAAGGGGAATATTTTCATATTCCTCTATGTCTAGTACTAGAAAATCGGCGGGGAGTATAAACTTATCTACCATGACCAATACATCCTCCACTATACCTAAAGGGTGAGTAAAAGATCTATCGGCTAGCTGCAAGGTCACGGAAGTGGGCTTAATTTCTCCTAAATTCAATTTCTCATAAATTGATAAAGGCATTAAATTTACGCTCGCCCCTTGATCACACAATGCCCGCCCAAAATACCTTGTACCTATTGTGCATGGAATGGTACAACTGCCCGGATCTCTAAGCTTCGGTGGAATTTCATTTGCAAGGATAGCACTACTTTGCTCATTGAGGTCTACGAATGCTGCACACTCCGGAAGCCTCATCTTCTTCGATACAAGTTCATTTATAAACTTAACCAAATTTGGCATATGCTTAAGTGCCTCAACAAAAGGAATATTAACATGCAACTTTTTAAGATAATCCAAAAATAGCTCAAATTGCATATCAAGCTTAGAGTTTTGAAAACGTTGAGGGAAGGGTACCTTGGGAGTAGATTCACTTACTGCGATCTTTGTGTTGCTTGGCCCAACCTCGGTCTTTTCTTTGGGCTCCTCTACAATAGGCGGTGGTGCAACGGACTTTTTAGGACCTTCCTCTAATTGCCTCCCATTTCGCAAAGTTACTGCATTGCACTGCTCGATGTTGCTCTTTCGAGGATCTTGCGTATTCGACGGCAGTGCTCCCGACGGCCTCGCGTTTAGCTGGGATGCAAGTTGACCCATATGTGTTTCCAAATTTCGAATGGAAGCTTGAGTTGATGTCATGAATTGTGCTAAGATATTAGCGAGATCTCCACCTTGAGGTGGGGCTTGAGTCGGATTTTGGAATTCGGGAGCTGGCCTTTGTCCTTGCTGATTTCCTCCCCATCCAAAGTTGGGGTGATCTTTCCATCCCGGATTATAAGTGTTGGAGTACGGATTCCTCTATTGTCGGTTGGTGTCATTCACGTAATTTAGAGACTCCGTTTCTTCTAAGCACCGGTCGGGACCTTGGACTGCATGGACTTGCTGAGTCTGCAAAGCTGCTAGTTGCTTTGATAGCTTTTCTAACTGTGCCGTGATTGCACTGACACCGTCTAACTCCAAAATTCCTCCCGTTTTAACTGCTCCGCTATTCGGCCGGTTCGATGCCCGCATGTATTTATTTCTAGCGATTCGCTCTAAGAGTTCGTATGCTTCGTCGTAGGTTAAACTCATGAACATGCCTCCAGCTGTAGAGTCGAGCACGGTTCTCGAGTTGTCTTGCAATCCATCGTAAAATATTTGCAGTTGGCGCCACTCTTGAAGTCCGTGATTCGGGCACCTCCTTACTAGCTGCTTGAACCGCTCCCACGTCTCGAATAATGCTTCACCGGCTTCTTGTATGAAGTTTTGAATTTCTCTCCGAATTCTCTCACTTTTTATTGGGGAGTTGTACGTGTTCATGAAAATTTGTGCTAGCTGGGCCCAAGATGAGATGGAGTGCGGTGCGCGAGTTTGTAACCATTCTCGGGTTGCTCCTTGTAAGGAGTGCTTGAACAGGCGGAGTTGCAATGCTCCGGGTGATACTCCGTTCATCTTGTGCGAGTCACACGTTTCGAGAAAGTTGACCAAGTGGAGATGTGGATCTTCATGAGCCAATCCGCTGAATAACCCACTGTTTTGGAGCATAGTGAGGAGTCCCGCTCGAATTTCGAAATTGTTGGCTTGAATGGGGGGCTGCTGGATGCTTGATTGAAACCCATTGAGTGTTGGAACGGTGTACTCATGCAATGCTCGTTGACGAGGTGGTGGATTAATTAGCTTGTGTTGCTCTTGCTCATTGACGATTTCCCCCGCCGCATTCGGTAGGCGCCTTTGGTCATCGCCCCTACGATTATTTTCTTCTTCCATTGTCGTATATAAAGTACCTAAAACAAATAAAATAATTAAATAAAATAAATAAAATGGCAGAAGTAAGAAAAATTGCTCAAATTTAATATTAGGATAAAAATAGATAATTTAGCCGCATTCCCTGGCAACGGCGCCAAAAACTTGTCGGGGCTAAATACGAAACACGCAAGTGCACGTATCGCAAACAAGTAGTAAAAGTGGACTCGTGAGAGTCGGATGTCGATCCCACAGGGAATACGCAAATTATTTAATCCTAAGTACCAAAATTCTAACAGCTATGATTTTTATCCAGCCTACGCAAAGATGTCAATAATAATCAACTAAACAATTAAACTAATTATGAAAGAAAATAAACACGAGAAAATATCAATAAAAACCGACCTAGGATTTTATCTTCCCCCTATGCAAGAATTGCTCACCCAAAACCCCTCAATTATGAAATATACGATTCATGATTATTAACCCGAGACACTAATTTACTCATAACCCGTTGTCGCGTGTATTATGAGTCTATTATTCATTAACGGTTCACTATATGTCTATGCAAACAAATTATGAATAAAACATTAACTAACAAGTCTCGTATATAGCTACCTAAGGTGATATCTTTATGTCTACGACACCACATGCAATTGACACACTCATCCGGTGAAAACTACTCGAAGGCTCTTCTACTTACCGTCTAATTATCGAAATAGCTCTGTAAATTCAATCCCAATAATCACAGATAAAGCACATAAATTGATCAAGTTCATGCACTAACAATCATAACAAGTAGAAGAAATAATCATAAAATCATAATTACATAATCTCA